TAAAGCCTCGACGTGTTAATTGATTTGTAGATTGAAATATAGTATTATAACATATAACATGTGAAGAAAACGTCCAAACTGTAAAAGCATATACTTTGCATTGCAAACTCCACCGCAATGAACCCTGACGTTTTTTCAACTGTGTAGCAACAAGTTGTAAGCAGGTGCTTTCGGGATATGCAGCTTTAAAATCGTAATTTATATCGCCACCATAACAGTACATCGACAGTTTATCAGGACGTGACTTTAACGCCATTAAAATGCACCGTCTCACTTTGTGAACGCCAGTGAGTACCGTTTTTACTGCAGTTTATTGTGCTGGCAAAGTTGGAAAAGTTTGGACTTCAAATAAAGAGTTTGTATTGAAAAGCACTACGGTGAATGTTTTTTGTGATTTTTAAAAAAGTAAAAAAAAAAGGTTCAAATCATACACCCGGTTATATATTTTAGGGCATTTAGATTTTATTACGGACTTGGAATAACAGTTATATATTTTAATACACATTTTAAATGAGCCCTCTTTTAATTTCAATGTAAGAAACAAGGCAATATGAATGTAGGCAAAAAAAAGTATTGTGTTATATATATAGAAAAAAATACATACATACATTATTTACATACACACATATTTACACACATTTTGAAAAACATGGACGCCAATGAAAACAATCAACGAATGTTACTGTGATTTAAGTAATTTCAAGGAAGTGTTATGATGTTCTTCATCTACTTTGCTTCCTGGTCACCTCCTGATTGTGGATCAAAGTGTGGGCCCATCTATAATGAAGTGATTGTGGTTTTATTAAAAATAATATATATAGTACTTTGAGTATAATATACATATATATATAGTATCATTATTATTATATAACAGGAGTCGCTCTTACCAGACTTCCGGTTGTCTCCTGCCGACTGTAACTCTACAAATCCTGCATTAATTCACAAGGATGAGTCAAAAAGTTCTGAGACAAATTGAAACAAAAAGATAGATAAAGACGTTAGTTTCTCTGTGTATCCACCGTCTCAGTCTTGAAACAGTTTACTGTTGTGTTTTCATCAGAGAATTCCTTCATTGTAGAATTCACACACGTCTCAGCTTCTTTGCTGGGCTTAAAGACTAAAAGCAAGTTCCTTTTAGATGTTCTGTGTTTTAGGGTTGAAAAACCAGATCAAACAAAGATGTGATGAATACACTTCCATTTACATTCATGCTTTTATCCAAAGCGACTTACAAGAGGAGAATTCAAGGGGTTAAGTCTAACAGGCATTTTCTAATTATTACATCTGTCTTAGAACTTTTTGACTCAGTGCCAGCCATTAAAAAAATGTCAATGTCAAACTAAAATGAATTCTTATTTTGAGTGAACTCTATTTATTTGTGTTGTTCTTATTTTCCAGAAAATAAAGTAAAGAAAACATCCATTTTGGAGCCTCGTCCAGCACCACCTCCTCTTCCTCCTCCACCTCCTCTTCCTCCAGGACCTGCCTCAGGGTCAAACGGTAAGACAAACACGGGGTTGTATTTACTGGCTGGAATGATGTGAAATTAGTAGTGGATATTTATAGTCTCCAGAGGGGTCACCCTCGGCGACCCCTTGATCTTTTCTGTTGACACACACACACATGTTGATATGAGTCCCACTGAGTCCGTGTCCACTTGGGTTGGTGTGTGACCTTTACTGAAGTGTGTACCACATGATCAGGTTGGTACACAAAACAAATGAAGGTTTACTCTGCCATATTCTCCGTCTCTGGGGAGAGGGAACATGCATTGATTTTTTTTTTCTTTCCTCCTTATTTCTCTCTGATGCTAAAGATGTGGCCAAGTCTGGATCTTCACTAGAGATAAATATATATATATATTAACTGCATTATTTAGTTTTGGAAAATATCTATATGAACTGCATTATTTAGTTTTGGAAAATATTGAAGCAGAATTATTATTTAACAGAGCTCATATATTCATTGTAGAAACATGTTGGAGAACCTGCATGATCCTGCAGAACACATACTGTACTGTGTGCTGTGTGTTTTCACCTGAGGTGAAATTTGAAATTCCTTCTTTGTCCATTAGAGAAAAAATAAGAGGGTGACACCGTGTTGTTTGGCTGTGAAAACAGGGGGAAACCTTAGAGTTATCTGAGCAGAGAGGAGCGACTCTACAGCGTCGGCTCCACCTCATTGACCATAAAGACCTTTGTTGCTGTAAAATGACAGTGGAGGAGGCGATGCTGTGTGACTGTAGACTCACTCCACACATCCCTGCTGCTGCCAGAACACTGTACATGGAAATGATGACGAGTGACGTTTGAACTGCACTCTTTTTTTAAAACACGTTCATTATTGATGATATTTTCTTCCAAAAAGCCCAATAAATGGTGAGTACTGATAAAAGTTTAATACAGAATAGAATAGAGTTCTGCTGACATGATTGATGATAAAAAAACACACAGATATGAATGTGGTGTAAAAGATCAGACTAAACCTCAGTCGTCAACATTAGCTCAGGCTGCAGTGACAAGAGTTTGTGCACACCGTTGTATTCCAGTGATGAGTTTGTTGGTTTCATGTCAGCAGATGATGATGAACGTTTGGTTGTGTCGTTTAAAGGGGAGTCTGTAGACTGACTGTGTTGTCCTTCTCTGGAGGATCTGCCTCTGAACGTGACATTCTGATCTCCCTCACCGCACCAGGCAGCTCCACTGCTCATCTACGGTTTTCTTTATTAATAAGAAACAGCTGGACTGCTATCATTTACCACCAAAACGCTAAGGCAGCAGAAAGCTAAATGAGCTTCGTTGTGTAAGTGCTGTTACTGAAGGCATTAGACGACAAGACGGAGCTGACTGGACCAATGAGGTCGTACACCTGTGGTTAGTCAACAGCAGGGGTTCTTAAGCAGTTTGACCTTGAAGCCTTAGATTTGATGAAGTCGGAATTATACCAACAAAAATTCAGGTTTTTGGGAGGAGTCTACACCACGTCTGTCTTCATTTTGTCATCCTAAAAACCTCTCTATACTTTTTGTCACAGCTATCGTAGAGGAGAAGGCAGTCTTCTTCTCTGTATATTGGAGCTTTTTAAAGCATTACCACCACCATGTGGTCAAAAGCTGCATTGTAACTGATCTCTAGATTCTTCAGTTGATAATCTAAGCTAATCATGTGGTCCACAGGTGTAACACTTCCCTTTGAGTGGCGCCGACGGCCCACTTTTGGACCCCACCCCTATGGTTTAGAATCACTGGTCTACACACTGCATTGACCTCCTGTTTGCATTTCAAATCATCAGTTGTACAGATTCTAGCTGCTGCCTCTAGATATTGTGGTTTTGTGTGTTTGATTTTTTACATGATATAGACGGTGACCTTTTCTTTTGGTTATTTGCCCTTTGCCCTGTTTTCATTTTGAACTTGACTATCTTTTATTAGCAGCACATTTGACAGATATTCTGCTCCGGAAATCAACGGACAGAGAACCAAATCCCAGCCCCCGCAGAAATTCAAACACACACACACACACACACGTCTTGGCCCATTTTTAGGTTCACACCTGCCGTAGTAATTGACTCAGCATTACTAACAGCAGCAGTGCACTGCTGAGCAGGAGCAGAGGAGTAATGAGGAGGCAGGGGTGAGACTTTTACCCGAGGAATGTAGGAGCTCATTAAGGCTTGATTACACGTATTAATGTTAATAGGTTGCAGTAAATTTCCTGCGCACACAACACATGGTTAGACACATATGGGACGGAGCGGTGTGTCAGTGTGTTTGACGGACCATTTTGGTCTGGTTTGATCGGTAGATCTGCTTTATCTACAGCCCACCGCCTCGCTCCATTTTGTGCCCACCGTAATTTGCGGCGGAATCGCTGCCTGTTAAAGCTGGTTCACTGAAAAGTTAATTTGACAACCTTGAAACCGCTGCTGCTGCTGCTGCTGCTGCTGCCGCCGCCGCCACCTGGCAGTGGTAGTGGCAGCGTAATGGTCTTAACATCAGCTGCTCAGACACCAGAACCTAAGACAAGTAACACTGAGGCCAACAGACCTGACATGTCTGATTATCATAACTGATGCTATTCCTGGTCAGAGTGTAGACCGTGGTTGTCATCAGGGCCAACGCTTCTTATTAATTATCTCACTGTTCAATCAACATTTTGTTTTATTACCTGAAAAATACCATGAATTCACCTTTATTGGATAAAGTCAGTGAACTCTTCATGAAGACGTCTAATTTCTCAATACTAATTGCCGTGATACATTTTTATTTTCGACCGCACATGACGTTTAGACTGAAGTTTATTCCGGGGTAAGGCTGTCACATTTTCCATGAAAAATTAAGTTTTCATAAAAATTTTGACACCTTGGAATTTCCAAGACATTAAGAGTGTCGGAAACTTCTCAAACCCACGCTCAGATTCCTCCAGGTGTTACCGTACTGTAAATGTACAGTGTATCTGGGCTTTTGTTATTGTTTTTCTTCCAAATTCCACCGTATCATTCTGTGAATCTCCTAGAACCTCATGTCATCTGCTTTTCTTTAGCTGCTGTTTTTTTTGTTTGCCCTTCCATAAAAACTAGGAGAACACATTAGCTTGCATGCTAATATCTTAACAAACAAATAAGGCTACGACCTCCTCACTGCCCCCTGCTGTTTTTGCTGTTTTTTTATTTTGGTAAAATGACTTTTTATAAATCGTCAGTTTTCTGTTTATTAAAGATATATTTGATATGTCCAGTCAACGTTGCCACTGCGCATTAAATGGGTGTGGTTTGAAAAAAACCCACAGTGACACACAATTCTGAACACAATTCTCAGCTTTTTCCTTAAGTAAATTCTCAGTTATTAAATTAACATATAAAAAACAGATTTAAGAAGCAAAAGTGACTAGAGACTTCTAAAATCCAGACCAGTCTAAATGACTTCCACTGCCTCAGATAAAACTGACCTGCATGACTAAGAACCTACAAAAACAGGTTTAATGATATAAAAATGATATTAAAACTGCTGCTTTGATTAAATGCCAGATAGTGAATCAGGCAGGGAGCTGTAGACGCTAATAAACTCTGATAAATAACCAGGTGAATTACACATTTCTCACAGCAGGATATGAACAGATGGAGAAAACACACACACGCACCGCCCCACACACACACACAGGACGGAGCACATTTTTACCAAGGATTTATTCTCTCTGGTTGTGCATTTGCCTCTGCGCGACTTCATTAAAATGTATATGTAATCACAAAGATAAAAGACAAACAACAAGTACTTCCTAACAGTCGGTACCAGAGAGTGTGTGAAGATGAATTCTGACATCATCAAGACTAAACCTCTCTCTGTTTAATCACTGCTGCCTCGTTAATGTCACCCGTCTCACGTTCACACTTCTATATATCCTCTCTATTTTCACTCTCCTCCCTTTTTACCAGATTTTCCCCTCATCCTCTTCCCCCTCCTCCTTCTCCTCTTCCTCCTTCTTCTTCTTCTCCTCCTCCTCCTCATCTAGCTCATATCACTACTTCTTAAATGACCCCTACTTTCCTAATCAGTCTAAACCACAGCAGTTGCACAATTTTGTATTCATGCTCTCTTGTAGCTCGTAGCTCGTAGCACGGCAGACTCAGCAGGGTGGCCAAACCATTATCTTCAATCACAGACTATAAATCAGAGCATTTTTACACTATCTATTATGTGTCCTCCCCTCTCACCTGTGTCTCTCTCCCTCTCTTCTTTTCTAAAGAAACCCACCCCCATCCCATTTAATGGCAGGACCACTTGTCTCCTCCTTTTCTCTTAACACAGCAGTGGCTGTTAACCCCATTTAGGGAGGATGATGTGCTACTTAGAGACAAACAGATGGGCAGAGTGCCTTAAATCACCAGATAGTGTGTGTGTGGGTCTGTGTGTGTGTCTCACACACATTGACACAATTACAGTACTCACACATATACATATATTTTTTAGTCCATTTCACAGTAAGAAATGACTAATGTGTAGAAATTGGGATCAAATGAGGTAATCCCTGCTGAGTCGCATAAAATGAAAAATGTCATTTTCCATTTTGAACTTTTTTGAGGCTGGGGTGACTGCATTTGTTCAAATTCTCTTCTCTGCTCATGATATTTTCATTCTGAGACCATTTGTCCTCTAACCCTGTTAGTCAGGTGTCATGTGGCTCATTGAGGTACTACACATGTAACCATTTTGGATTTACTGAACCACATACATGTATCCTCTGATGCTCTGAAATCAACTTCAACACTAAACGCTCAAATGACCGTGAGCGATGGTGCTCACCTTCTGTCAGCTTCATGAGGCCCTGCTGAGGTCCAGAAAAGTGTTTTTGGAAACAGCAGCGTTTACCAAACATCCATGTTTGAATCATAGCAGTGTGATGGGCTTTTAGAATTTTCTTAAAACTTCATTCTGATTTTTCTGCTTGTTTTTGTTTTTGTGTGTCGGCATATGAGACCACAGACAAATACTGCTGCGGATGTGT